GAAATGATCAGAAAGTATAAAATACAAAACTGAATCTAATTTTCAYTTAATCAGTTACAAAATTTCTTCACTGTGTTAAACACAACCAGCACCTCCAATCTAGGTGGGAAAATCCTGTCCTGGATCAAGTTTCAGGAAGTAATTCTGCTTTGATGTTTAAAAAGATACAACAGATCCAAACATATTAACTCCACCCACACATACGGCCTTTCCCAATCAGTGGCTCCTCCCTCTCACTATTTGCTACACACTACACTCTCTGAAGCCCCCTGCAGGTCAGGTGGTCTGAGTCCAGACTGACCCTGTTCCAGAGTGATGGGTGCATCAGGGTAAGAAGAGAGGCAGGTGAAGTGATGCTCCCATCATAGTGTCTACTGTACAAACCTGTGGAGGCAGTGCTGTGATGTGAGGTCGCTGCAGGTGGTCAGGTCTAGGTTCAACAACAYTCTGTGCTCAAAGAATGAGGTCAGCTGACTATCTGAATATACTGAATGACCAGGTTATTCCATCAATGATTGTTTCTTCCCTGATTGGTGAGTGTGTGACCTTTTTTTTTTTGGCCAGGTAGTGTCTCTTTTTACAAAATAAACCCCTCCAACASTTCCTACATCATTAAATCAGATGCTTGTCTGTCTGGAAGAACAGAGAAATATTCTCTWGAATTTCTCAGGATCTTTGTATCAGATTAGAACTAACCTGAACTAATATATTTGTTCAAAACAATAATTTACAACCATTAAATTGGAAGAGTGGTGATTTTTCCTCATTTCAGTTTAAATAAAAGTCTTTGCAGTTTTTCTATGACCGCTGTTTGTTTTTTGAAAACCTGGTATAAATCTTATTTTTCAATGCYTAAAAGTCTGAAGCAACATTTGTAAATGTTTACCAGTAAACAAGTCAAACTGTTTTCTTTCTGAAGCCTGCTAGTTTGTTGTTTTGGGATTTTTAAGTTTTCATTTTTCTTAAGTTTCTTTTAAACCATTCAACAACCTATAAATCATACATTAAAAAAAAGACATCAAACTCAATGAAATGAATTAACTTGGTTCTTTAATCATTTAGTTAGCAGCAGCTTTGTAAGAAAGATAAATCTCTTTACATAAAATATGTTCTGATTCCACAAGCTGAGCTACTCTGAGGAAAATGGAGCAGGACTGGAGAAATGATGCTGAATTGGTTCAAGTTTAAAGTTCAAACAAGCAAAAAACAGAAACTACAAAGGATCAGAAGACAAGAACTGAGCAAATATGCTGAAGAAAGGTTACAAATACAAGTTAGAGCARATTATTCCTGACATTTTTCACATAAACTAGTTACAACAGGCAGGTGAACAGTGTCTAAAACTGGTATAAAAATGTTAGAAAAGCTAAATAACAGAAGTCAGACTTTATAGAAGGGAAATGAGAAAAGGCTAAATTACACAAGAATCAGGGCTGATTCTTGATAAATGAAGTTCAAACTGAGTTCCAGCTGTCATCAGTTTGTATGAAGGTCAGAGACAAACAGACATCAGAYGGTTCCTAAACCTCAACATCCAAGAACTATTACAAATATATTACTAATAATTACCGAAAACTACTGAAGAAACAATAAGCTAAAAGATGAACTTTAATATAAACCTGTTTTATTACTGTATTTCCAGTTTTTGTTTGCACATTTCAATAAATCTGTCCTTATTTTAAAAGCGATATGGATTAGGACTCTTGCACATTTGTGTATTTCCAGTTGGCAGTATAACTCAGCAGGTCCATCATGAGCTGAGCTCAGCAGTACAGTTCTGAACATGTTCTGTCACAGCAGCTGAAAACTTCATCTAGAGGCTAAAACTAGCTGTTCAAGTGGCACCTTGTGAGGAATGGCTGTTTGATTCAACAGAGTCCTGAATACTTGAGCTGCTTTAGACAGGAATAAAATACAGACAGGTACATATCAACGTGTAAACATGAGACAAATACATCACTTTACCAGCATTCATCAGAAAAAAATCAACACCAGGTCACGTAGAATCATCTGAATGTTGTCCTGAGGCAACAGATAAAATCTTTACATGTTCTGTGAAAATACAAGAGTCTGTTCCAAACGTTCAGTCTATCTGATACAACAAAAGAAAAGACATGAAGCAGGAAATAAATCAGTGTGTTGTTCCACATGTAGACATGAGAACTAACCAAGGACCTGCTGGCCTCAGATCAGCTGGTCCCACGAGGTCCCATGAGGTCCCACCCAGGCCAGCCCACAGAACCAGAACTGAAACCTGATTAAACAGATGACAGACTGGGTACTGCAGGCAGTCTCCTAATGATTCGAAAAGTCTGCAGAGAACAGACACGTGTTCTTTGAACCCCGTGGGGACCTTCCATTGAATTCCATTCATTTTTTTAAACTTTATATCCTAACCTTGACCATATACTATAAAACTAACCTAAACCTTGGTCCTAAACCTAACCCCACACCCGAAATTTGCATTTGGACCCATTTGGATGCACTTCGATCCCCACGAGTCTGCTTTTTTTGGGAAAAATCCCCCCCCCACCACACACACAGTTAATGGTATGCATTTATATACAATTTTTCCAGTCTTTCCTGATAAAACAAAACCTCACACTGGTGGATGAGAAAAGACCAAAGATCAGGGGGCACCTGGGGATCCGAGTCTTGCTGAAGGACACTTTGGTGGAGGTAGCTGGAATCAAACCATCAACTATATTTATTCTCCACCCAGCCAATAGACCATATTATCATCTTTTTAACTTCAGCAGTGGGTGATAAAGATTTCCTACCACATGGCTGTACCTTATAAAAGCAGAACTGATTCTGGCTCACTCTGTCTGATTCCCACCAAACCTGGACGGTTCTTTGTGTCTGGGGGCCTCTTCATATGTAAGAGCTGGGGACCCACAACCAGTAGAGAAATTTTTTTAGGAGCCTTGTAGGATGACAGGACCAAGACAGAGGGCATGGAAATATGAATCCTAGTCAAATTTCAGCTTTTTTGATGAAGATGAGCTGGAAGAGTCCCAGACTCAACAGGGATTGTCTTTCAGGGAGGAGGCTCCAGCCTGTCGTGAAACTGACGACAATTAAAAATATTCAGAGCAAAAGCAAAAACTGAAGAAACTAGCTTGTCAAGAGCACACCGCAAAGAGTGACACTTTGTTTTTACTGTTCTGGTGATGGGAGGTGTTGGGACCCAGGCCCCCTTTCCCCGTGGCAGGTATAAACTGGGTCACCATCCACCGAGAGCAACATACTGAGCTCTCTGTGGGGGAGAGGGGTCGGAGGTTCAATCAGGCTAAAAACCCTCCAAAACCTTCTGCTCCTTTCCAAGCTGCGAGCATCCAAACCCTACATTTCAGGCATCTTCTACCTGTCACGGTTTCAGGAGTTCCACACACTTGTCCATGGGACTCCAACAATGGAGTCCAACATTATGCAGACCAGTAGGGTAAAGACCTTCATTCACTTCATGTCCCACAGGAACTCGCGTGTCATACTGGGRCTGTGTCTTCATAAATATGACAGACCCTCAACAGAGCAGGAGATGATAGAGGAGGGCATCCTGATCCACGTAAGRAAACCTAGTCTGGCTTAGACACCGCCGTGCTTTTAGCGGGAGCAGGCCAGATGTKAATTAACTCTCCCTGCCTTTGTCTTTATGCCGTCAGGTGACCAATCACAAGACCACGGTGTAATTTGGTGAGGTCAGTCTTGTGCTGACGCCCACTGAAATCAAGTGGATCAGGRGCCTTCAGGGCATCAAGAAGTGGCTGTAGGCTAAGAACAATTTAATCTTGTTTACCATGGAGTCTTCAAATAGACATTTAAACATTAGATTGGGCTAGCAAGACTTTGTAAACATACACTGAAAAAAACTATAGACCTAAAATGAAAATAAATTATATGTTAGCAATAATTAAATAAACTAAACTAAAAACAGCATGGAAAGCTGAGTTACTAACTTGAACCAATTAGTCCTGAGGGCCAAGCAGGAGCTCATCTACCTGTCCAATAGTCCTGGGGTAAGCAARCCTGGTCCTGGAGTGCCACTAGCCTGCATGCTTTATTTGTTTCTCAGCTCCAACACACCTGATTTGAATGAATGTGTGAGGAACAGACTTCTGCAGAACTTGAAGAGGTGTTTCAGTCACTGAGTCAGATGTGTTGGACTTCTACAGAACCTGGAAGAGGTAATTCAATATCTGAACCAGGTGTAATGGAGCAGGGACACGGGAACTCAAGGACAAGGGTTATTACTGCAGTAGTTCCTCAAACAATTGACTTATGATTAATTGTCAAATAATGGCTTAGGCTACGTTCACACTGCAGGTCTTAATGCTCAATTCCGATTTTTTGAAAAAATCTGATCCTTTTGTGTGAACGTTCACATTACATTTTAAATGTGACCTGCATCAGACTCCTGTGTGAACGCTCCACAGCACTGATGTGACACGCATGCGCAGTAAAAGACGTGACGTCTCATCAGCCGGCTTGTTTGTTTACAGAGCTAGCATGGAMGCTACATTTTGCACATCYAATCAGAAGTTGTTGTTTAATCAGAGCCGATTAAATAATTATCTGACCTGCTTCRTTAGTTCAGTGTTTATATCTGAACCTGCCTCTGACCGGGATGTTCCAGTGAAGTTTGATTTTTTGAATGAAACTACGAGCTGGAAAAAAGTATCGACCGAGTAGCTAACTTTAGGATCGATACTCTCCGCGACCCAGGCTGGACATCGTTATTATCATACTATCTACGTGGAAAATGAAAAGTAAAAAGATGAAGRAACTGGACTTGTGTTTTGGAGCTGTAAACACATGGAGCTACAGATTTAAACAGCGAGACTTGAGGTTAGTGTCTTATCGATCCTTCASCCCCTCCTCCTGATGAAAAAGTCAGATGAATGTGACATGAGCGTTCACACTGCAGTCACTTTGAAAACATCAGATATGTATCCGATTTAAAACCACATACTGAAACGGCCTGGGTCGGATTAGAAAAAATCGGATTTGTCTCGTTCAGACTGTCATAAAAAAATCGGATATGGGTCAGATTTGCCTGCAGTGTGAATGTAGCCTTAGATTAAAGTTCCTTCCATTCAATCGATTCATAACATTTGTTTAAACCTTATTTCAGTGTAGTTTGGCCTCCATCCAGAAGAGGGTGCTACWGCTGTCAGCCTGGACTTACGTTACCCCGGCCCTGTTTGCACTGAACAGAGAGCCGCCTCGATGTGCGGCATCATAATTAAACACATGCAAATCTTAATTTGATTTGCGACACAARAATAATAATAAACTACACCAAACTCGAAGGAAAAGTACAGAAGGCTGTACCGGAGCATCCAGCAAGATGACGCTAAAGACAAGAGAGTAGGACGACAAACGGTAAGCTAATTGTAGCTAATGTTAGCTTCTGATTGAGTTAAACTCGTGTGTCACTACAAAAAATTCATGTGACGTTACTCRCATCTGTGTGACGTAAGCCCCTGGCACCACCTGGACAGCCAGGGTCCAGGAGGAGGGACCTGGAGTTGGGTGAACYGTGTGATTGGTACGTGTGTTTCAGCGTTGTGGTGCAGGGCGACATGACTGATGAGGACAAGCCCAGCTCCTCTGATACCATCGCTGAACAGATTCTCCACACACGAGGAGAGAAAAGATGTGAACTGACTCAGACCTCTGAGACAAACACATCCAGCCTGCAAGACACAGACTGGCTTCATTTCAGCATAGATTAAAAGCTGTCCTACTGTCCAGAAAATAATCTACTTTAGGGGCAAAAAACTGCTACYAAGAGCTTCTTTTTCACTCCTGAATCAACAGTTTGGTCATCGTTTTCTTCATATTTTAGTCTCCAGAGAGACTGAAACATTTCTCTGATTCTTATGCTTCAAGTAGTAACTTATATTCAATAACAACCACCACACACACACAGTCAAATAAATAGCCATAGCTTAGCCACACACAGCTTTCAACACCCACAGTGAGTCACCAGTATTAAGGAGGCTTTGTCTCATCTGCAGTGCTAAACTGAAGCTGATGTTTTGGTGTTGTACCAACCCTGAGAGGTGTTTGTTGTGCTGCGGGTGTTCTCACACACTAGAAGGCCATATAGGAAGGGGGTGAGCTTCAGTGTTGAAGACATACTGGTCGAGGCTTATGAGGTTGGAGTCGTTGGAAAACAGCATGTACAAATATTTCAGGGTCTCTCCCAGAAAGAAGCTCTCCATCTTGTCTCTGGGGCTGGGATACTCTGGGTCACGGACGTTGTTGATGGAAGTGWATCCACCAGTGGAAACCTGAGGGACGACAAAACAAAGACAGGGCCTTTAAAATGTTTCATGTAGTGATGGAGAGTTGAAGCTTTGTGATGAACTGAAGCTTTCCATCCTACTGGTGAGCCGTTCATGGGCCGAGGCCTAATCTGCTCTACTGTGCCATCAAGAGGTTAATAAATGTAAAACAAATTATAATGACACTAACGGTTTGTGAAGCTTTAAGTTGAATAAAATAAAATAATAATTGTTTGTGATGACCTTAGATTGTGTTTAAATTTGATCTGAATATGATCTTAATCTGTCTTTATTATAGAAAAAAGTGCATGGAGACAAATAGGGGAGAGTTTTGCTGTGAATGACCTGTTGCTGCCAGACCCAAAGTTGTTCTAAAAGACCTGAATTAAAAATAGACATGTGAATGTAACTGGAATTTTGCTGTAATTTATACAGTGTAAACTTTACACTCATTTACAAATAAAAAAATTTAAAAAACTGTTATCACTGGGAGGGTTTTTACAGTAACATTTAAATTATTGGTACACTCAAAGAGGTGACGACTTGAAAATGATGTCATTTGTATCACCTATTTAGGAAAGAGATAATACTTTGAAATGTAGCATATTTTTCTGTGTTCTTTAGTTTTTAATCTAACAAATGTTTGTTTGTGCTTTAATGGCACTTACATGGAGTGTTCTGTACATATTTACATCACAGCTTTTAAGCTGTTTTATGTGTGGAGATTGTTGTTAATGTGACTAGTGGGGACTATACAGAGTTGTGTAACTAATAAGTAAGTAAGTAAGTAAGTAAAGCTTTATTTATATAGCGCCTTTCACAGTAATAAATTCACAAGGTGCTGTACATTCAGGGAAGGGGGCAGTTAAGACCGGTCATGCAGCAAAATACAGTTGTGCTACCWTAAKAACAYAACAACAGAAAAACTAAAAACCACARAAGGGAAGATGAGGAAAAAAGCAAAAATGTCATATTATATCAACACTGTGACACACTATGGTGTTTATGACAAAACCTCTGCATAGGGCAGATTTATTAGCCAGAGGAGTGAGTTTAGGGGGGCCCTAAGAATC